CGTCTACATATAATAGACCATTCCGATAAGCCGAAAAAGAAGAAGAGAAGGAAGAAGCAAATATATTTTTTGGGAATCAATGGACCTTCTACCACAGCATTTTGCATCTCTTACATGTTCAAAATGATTTTTTAGTGCCAATGTTATATATTTTTGAGACAACGAATCACTCACAAATCGGCCCTATCAGCCCTAAACGATACCTTTGCTTCTTCCTTCTCTTCTTTTTTGGCTCAGCGGAATGGTCTATTCTCAAAGAAGTCTACATGAAACAGAACACAATAGACCATCCCACCGAATGGGGAAGAAGAAAGAAAAGAATCAAAAAGTACCGGAAACAGTCCCGAAAACCAGTATGTAGATCATTTGTGTACACCTCTATGGCACACCAACAAGTCCAGAATAATTATCTTGGCCAAGAAAACTAGAAAAAGTGAACGATTTGATCTGTTTATCAATACTGTTTCCGGTGGTTTTTGATTCTTTTCTTTCTTCTTCCACAGTCGGTGGAATGGTCTATTGTTGGCACTGTTGCCAAAAATCACTGTGAATAATTAAAAAGAAATAGGGTCAGGTCGGGGGAAAATGAGACACCTCTAAATTGGGGAAGAATGACACATTCGCTTCTCTAGATTGGTTTGCATGCTTTTTGACCTCATTTCTAGTGTTTGGCTGCTTAAAACTCATCTTTTAACATTCGACTTCAATAGGGTATTTCGGGTAAGCGAAGCAGCGGAAACGGAACAGCCGAGCGGCTGCTGGATTCGTCTCAGCCTGCGAACTGCGCATGCGCAGTAGACTCTGCGCCGTCCCACTGCCTCCCCCTCTCCCCCGCGCATCAGCGGCAGAGATGCAACCAGTGGTGGACTGGGCAGTTCCGTTTCCGCCGCGCCGCTTACCCGAAATACCCTATTATTAACCGGTTCTGGGAAGTTAACTCGCTTGTTCTCGTCACGAAACATACCTAATGGGCAGCCTGTCCGACCACATATACACAAGGGCTCTA